CTCGGCACAAGTTAGGGTGCTAAGCATCTCCCAGGAGGCTGCCCCTAGCAAGAATCGGGGCCCTTAAAAAACAACAGGACACAAACAAGTTTGCAAGGTGCTGTCTAGGCTCTGCTGGAGGGGATTTTCGGTGCCCAGCCACAGCTAGGACTCACTAAAGGCAAGGCCCCCTCCTATGGTGTTTTCTGATCACTGCACCACCCAGAGCCCACAGCTCCACGCCCATTTGCAAAATCAGCAGCTAGAGCTTGGAGCTCGGGGCCTGTTGACTCACCAGGACAGCTCAGGATGTGTAATCTTGTCGTCCTCTTAGCAAAAGCTATTTTTGTCTCCCAAACAAACACACGGCAACTTTGGTGACGCGGATGAAAAATGGCTTTGTGGCGTCCCCGAAGGGAAGCCTCGTTTCAGTTGCATGCAAGGCGGCGATCAGCAGCCCCTCTCTCTTCGATTTGATGGATCCTACAGCCGGCTTTATCCAAAAGCTACTGACAAATACCCGTGTGCTAACCTCAGGAAAACTAACTCGGAAAAGCTGGCCAAGATCCTAGCGTAGCTGAAAGCGTCTTGAGGCCTGGCCAGCCTGAGCGGAGCATTGTGTTGTTGTTTCTTAAGAGTGCGATTCATTAAGTCCAGGAGTTGGGCAAAGTTCCTTTCTTTTCATCAGGCCAGTGTATGGAAGTGGGGGGGGGGGGGGGGGGGCAAGCAAACCTTGGAAAATAAAACTTATTTGGCATTGCTGCATTAAACCACTTTGCATTTCATTGTAGGAAATTGTGTTTGCCCAGATTTTATTCAGCTCTCATCTCTTCCAGCCACATAGGGTTTGTTTTAATGAGAGGGGAGTTATAAGGACCTACTTTTTCCTGATGGTTTTATAATATTATTATTATTAATAATAATAACAGTAATTATGTTTAGTTCTTATACAGCCCTTTCTATCCACGTGTCTCAGAAGGCTTTATTAAGGAAGGCCAGTAGTAGTAGTATCATCTCCTATTTAAATCTGGGGAAACTGAGGCACAGATGGTTACAATGATGTGCCCAAAGTCACCCAGGAGGTCAGTGGCAGAGGCAGGAACCATGCTCATGCGCCCCTGTATCTCCTTAGACCGAAATTTTCCCATCAGCTCATAAAATCAAATCCCCGGTTCAATAGTGGCCCAATGGCTGAGAAGTAAGAAAGCAGGGAGCCTAAAAGATCCACTGGAAGGCGGGTCCAGTAGTTAGAGCTACAGCCTGGGATGCAGGAGACTTGAACTCACGGATAAATACATTGAAGACTGGGAGCCACTCAGATATGGTGTTGAAGGGGTCCATACCAGAACCTAAGCCAGGATGTGCCGAGTCTTCTTTTATTCATTCTAATTTAAGGTTTCACGTGCCAGTCATACATTTTAACGTTTTTAGAAGGTCTCTTTCTAAAAGTCTATAATATACAGTATAACTAAACTATTGTTGTATGTAAAGCAAATAAAGTTTTTAAAATGTTTAAGAAGCTTCATTTAAAATTAAATTAAAATGCAGAGCCCC